AATTATTAATTTAATTAACAGTAAATGCTGTGAAGTTTTTCCCGCAAGCTCATCTTTCACTTCAGGTTATGCCTTAACATTTCCTACATGCATTATCCTACTACAAAAATTTATTTTAGTCAGCATTTCTATCTACCTTACTGCACTAGTTGCATATTTTATGATGAGATTGGTTGGTTTTTTTACCATGTTGGCTAAGGGATCCTCAACAACCAGCTCAGATGCAGGTTGATCTATCTAGTAGACAACTACACTTAGCAAGTCTGACACACACTGCAGGAACCAGGCCCTTTGAAAGGAGTAGATTGCACTGCATTGTTTCAGCTGTTCAAATCTCTCCAGCTCTGCCAGCATAGGATTGGACAGTACATTAATTGAATCATTCCTTTGAGGACACAGCTGCGCTGTGCTTTCAGACCACTGGATGCAAGTCTTCTGCCGCCAATGCTGACACAAATCAGAAGTTACTAGCACAATGCAGAGGAAGTGGATGTACAGACTATTAGGAAGACAAACTCAATCTTGCCCAACTGAAAATGAGTGAGCTCTGTTTATTTGAGCTTATTGCCTTGTCTGTATATACCTGCACTTAGTTTGTTCAAGTTTGTAGAGCAAATTAATGTGATGCACTTCCTTTAATCCCTTTGTTTAGCCAATCTTTTTGTTTACACCAATTTCTGAAATGTAGCTTCTATATCAGAAGATGTTCAACATATGTAGAGGGGAAGTAGTAGAATTCTGTCCTTTTGTAAGCCTAGACAAATTATTTAGACCCTTAAAATATTTAGCACCATTTTATACCCAATTACAAAGTACAATTGCTGAATGTAAGTGAAATGCTTTTAGAGTTGCAATTGCATTTACACACGTAATTTTAAAAATATGACTTTCATTTTCCCACTTATTATGCGTGTAATTTTGATTACTTAGCCTCCATAGAAATTCCATGCAGCTATATCAACTAAATATTTACCCATGTTAATTTATTGTGCACACAAAAATAGTAAAATGCAACCCCCACCCATGCCTTTGAAGTTTTTATAGTAGACAAGGTCACAGAAGAATGAATTATGTACAGAGAGATGCAGAAAGAGCTTTTATGAACCATGATCCTGATATTTTGTCATTAGTTTTTTATTCATCTGACTATTTTTCCCAGGTTGAACTAGGAGTTACTGAAAAATAGGCTCTACAATAAGGAGATTGAAAAAGAACAAAAAAAATCCTGAGTCAACCATTTATCTCCTACTGAATTGTGTGAACTAAACTTAGTTCAAGCAAGAGCTCTCCCTAAGCAGTTCATATATTTTAATATGGTACAAGCACTCTGGATACATTGTGCAGTTTATGGCTTAATTTGGTTTAAAACTAAAGGGAAAAATCCGCAGCTGCAGTGAAATCCTAACCAAGGCTTCTGGCTCACCAGCCTAAACCAGGCACAATAAGGCACTATGGAAGTCTTCACCTTTTACTGCTTCTCAAACCCTTCACATTTAGCTATAATGGTCAACCAGCATTTCTCTTAAGCAGAAATAACATCTTACAGCTGATGGTAACTGCAGGAGGAATATTTTTGAAGTGCATGTTTCATTAATCTTATCCAGTGAAAATCTTGTCCTCTCTCCTGTCATAGTGGAGATTATCATTAATTGGACCTGTTGATGTGAAATAACCCTCTGTAGAAAACTTTTAGTCTTTCCATTCAGAATTTAGTTTTAAGTGCCTTCTCTGTAAGCTTTTCCCAGAGCCACAGTCCCCATTCTTGCTTTTTTGTCTTGGCTTTTTGTTTCTCCTGACATTTTTTTTTTGTCCTCATTTTTGATCGGGATCTTCCTCTGCTTGCAGAAATCTAGGAAGAACCCCTCCTCAAACTGCCTGTGCTCTCCACGCTGACATGGTCTCCTTTGGAGGAATGCACCTGTCTTTGGGGTTACTTACCTGCTAGGTTTAATCTACTTTTGATATCAACCATCTAAAACCCTATAGCCATTTTAAATGGACATAACTGCTCTGATTTCCACTGACATACATATATGAAAATATATGCTGATTTTGTGGCAAGAATTACATAATTCTGTGATCTCCATGAAAATGTATTTGAAACATATCAATTAGCCAAGCAGATGAGTGGGATGAGAAAAAAAATGTGTTACATACATGACTGTACAACAGAAACAATCTACACTTTTGGTATTAACTGTAAAGAGTTAATGGGTCTAAAAGTGCATCTCTGAAAATCATAACATTTCTTAAAATCATTATTTCATCTTTTCAAGGGCCAGATTCACATTTGTGCTTATGCCTATTGCAACCTTTTGACAGTTTTATTGTTGAAAAATTCAAGGTACATCTCATAATTGTACCAGGAACATGCATTTATCATTGGCAACAGCTCTGTGCCACATGAAATGAATTACTGTAATAGACATGTCATGTACTAGCATCTTATTATCCTCTCCCTCTTTCTCCTCACCTTCTGCAATGAGCAGGTCAAAAATGACTGTAAGTGGAACAGACAAAATGACTCCTGAAAAAGTTCAGTAAGCAAAATTATGCATGCTAAAAATAATGCTCCAGCAGTACAATGAGTAATTAATTCTAGGTCCAATACACTACATAATGAAAGCCCTAATGCTGCTGCTCAGCCCTAGCAGTGCAGCAGGGAGTGAGGCACTTTGGTGGATCAGGGAATGAAGGCCAGCACCATGGAAGACCAAGGCCCTTTAAATCCTTCTGCCCTGGTTTCCTCACTGCAGCCCTCTTATTACTGCTAAAAGGCAAGATGATACAAAGGCAAAACATTACAAAACTCACCTGGGCTCTCTCTGCTGTTCCTACATGTTGCTGTGGCCTGAGAAGCAGAGCAACAGGACCATGCCAGACCGGCCAGGAGGTGACACATGGAACATGTGCCACAAGGATCCATTGTCACCATGACCCTGCTGATGCAGTTCTCACTGAGCCTGGCACCATTAGTCTAGGTTCTCATGGGATAGCTTTGGACAAATCGACACAGAGAGGAGAGTATGGGCTAATTTGCTGCTTCAACAATTAACTATAGTTTCTATAGTTTGGCATCAGCCCCATGAAGCAAACAGCCCACTGGTAGGGTGCAGCATGTCTCCTTTTAACCTTTCAGGAAATCTTAGTTTAATTCCATTTTGGCCACAGTAAATGTGGATGCTAACTCAAAGATTGCATTTCAGCATAGTGAAGCTTTAATTTCCCAAGCATACCCTCATTACTTCACATAACTTACCTTTAATACAGTTTTCTTACAAATATCTTTGTGCTCATTTTCCCATAGCATCTGTAAGACAGCCTCAGTCATGTCACTCTCAATACTGTACCCCTACCATGAGGTTTATGTGCTCAATTCTCAGAAAAGATGGGACTGTCATCAGCTCACTGAATTGCTTCTTTCCACTTTCCTAGCAATATGCAGCAGAGTGCCTCTGATAGCACTGCAACTCTGAGTGGTGGCTTCCGTGCTGAAGCTGCTGCTTAAAGGAACTAGATATATTTTTTCTACAAATAGGAGGAAGTAGCAAATTAGGCAGCAAAAGCTGATTTTCTGTTATTAAGATAGCAAATACTCCTAAGTCAATTTACAAGCCAAAGGCTCTAGGCTTCTTTTCCTCCTACACCCTGCAGCTAAGCTGAGGAGCTTTCAAAGAAAATGGGTCCCTTTAAAGTTCTGCTTTTACTGAAGACACTGAGCTGAGAGCAAATAAACAGCTCTTCATTTGGTCATGTATGAAAATGTTCAACTTGAAAGCAGCTCAGCCAGACTGAAGTGCTGCTGATTGCAGTGGCCACACTGGGGAAGAAACAAGCATGTTCTCTCTGATGTTTGATTAGGAGATGTGCTGCCAGTGGGATTTCAGAGGGAAGTGCCATTTCTCTCTCCTCACATCCTTCCAGGGATGCCTCCAAGGTGGTCATGCCCTTTTTCTCAGCTTATTCAACAGTCACAGAGAGAGACGTAGCAGAAAAGGGAGGGGCAAGGACCTTTCTTCAGGCAGTACATCCTAGCCTCTCATATTTCATCTTACATTCCACTATCTCCTCTCTGCTGGCCCCAAGCCAACTCCTTAGGCCCACTGAACTCCTGATCAAGACCTTAACATAGGGGGAAAAAAGGGCGTGAAAGTTACATTTACATACTCTGCTGAAATACTGGATGTTTGAAATTCTAGCCCCAGCATAATACAGTGAAGTGTTTAAAGGTGGGATACTATAAACACATTAATTTAGGCCATAGCTCTGCTTACCTCAGCTCCAAGCAACAAAGCTGCCTATTGTGCTTTGTGAAATCAGTACCTTAAAAATTCCCTTCAGCTTTTCAGCAGACTGAGATGTGCAATACAGAAAAAAAACCATCTTTATTGCTAAAGAAAAAAGGCATTCTGGCATTGAAAGCTGTATTTTGAAAAATACAGGGCTGGCTTTTACTCCCAGTGATGTCAATGTCAAAGCTCCAATTGACTCCAGTGGGAACATGATTGTATCCAATGGGTAAATAATTGCACATATTTCACATCTCATTGTTACTGAAAACTGTTCTTCAAAAAAGGAAAATAATAGCCTGGATTCAAGGACTCTATTAAAAAGTCATTTGAACTGCATTCTAGTTGAAATCACTTTTACCAATGAAAAGATCTTTTTGTTTATTCAAAATTTACATAATTAGAAAAGCACAAGAGACTTTTCTTTTTTCTCCAGTCAGTCCTGTCAGTCTTGAAGTGCTTAAGAGTATCTCCAAGCCCAGATTTTGTATCTTTCTTTGGTTCTCTGCTTTCTACTAGTCCCTGAATTTTAATATGTTTTGAGAAATTCCTCATGTCAAGAAATACCTTCTCTTGAATGGTTTTCATTGTAAAACATCAGCATATCTACTCAGTCATTAAACTGTTACCTGAATGAAATGGGAACACAATCAAAAGGTTGGGCATTATTTATCACAGCTATGTCTCCACGTCAGAAAATTAAGACAGTGATGAATTACACATTACTGTACAAAATTTTATTATCAGAGACAAAATTCAAATTTGTTTTGCTTAAAATACAGAAGATCAAGTTGTTCTTAAAAAGAAATTCCATTTAGTCAGTCCTTAGAGAGGAATAAAAATTCTATGTTGAACACACAGCAGCCCCATATTTATGTAATCATTGTTAAAGGCATGTAACAAAAAACACTGTTCTCATAAATTAATATATTTTATTTGGCTAATGGTTTCCATTTCTGATCACTTCTATATTCACTAATTAGCATTGTAAGAATAATTCTGCTTTTATTCAAAATGCCTAAAAGGCTCCAAAAAAAAAAGAAAAACTTTGTTCAGTGTGGCATTTTAGATATACTGAAAATCAGTAAACATCTCCCTTCTATATGCAAAATATATCCTTTTCCGTGAAAAAAGAAAAAGGGGAGAGAGAGTAGTTGGCTCTATATAAAGCTGTGATTTTAAATTCAGCAAAAACATATCACCATATACTGCACCTGAAACCTGTGCAGAAACGGGTTTTAACCTAACTCACATTCCAGAAACATGAGTTCAGCCATATGCAGGAGCGTATGTGAATATACATTAATTTGAAGTGCATGATTAATTCCACAGACATCAGTGGGACTGCCTACAGATTTATATATATATATATATATATATATGGTGGAATCTTGGTCAACACAGACTCACATCATGCCTTACATCCAACTGTTTTGCTGAGTTGAAACTGTTTGGGTAAGATCTATAAATACAAATAACCAATGAATAATCTTTCAGAGCAAAATGTCCAGAACTAAAAGCTATACATGCATGTACACATGGTACATAAAAAGAGAAATGTGATATTATGCAATCATCTCTATTTTCTCTATATGAAAATGGCATTCGGATGTGGCAAACAGACATTTATGTGAAAACACTGGTGAACTGTATCTAAACAAAGTCAGTTTACATGACACCTCTTACATAACAAAAACCTGAACTCCAAAGAGTACAGATTTGAGAACTGATGGAAAAATATGTTCTTCTAATTACAGTATTCAGAATTAATCTAAGGTTGAGAGAGAATTAACAGAGGGACTCATCCATTACAACCAGCATTAACAGCTGCAGGATGACTTCTTTCTTCTCAAGGTGTCAAAAAATCTTACATGTGGAGTCTTTTGGAAAAATAATGAAATTTATCATCAGTCGTTGCTTTTCAATAATAGGATTCATTTATGTCATTGTGTGTGTAGTTAGTTTTTCAGATAACTAGTTTATATTTATCTTCTGCAAAAATACAGCAACACCTTTCAGTAAAACATCAGACAGGGAGATACAATCTGTTTTTATAAGGCTGTATGTTTCACCCACACCAAAGCCTACTGTCTCCCAAACATAACAATAACAGCAGAATTACATTTACACATATAATAAAGCTGTCTTTATACAGGATAGTTATACAGTAATTACAATGTTTTTTCCATTAGAAATGGTCAGTTTGTTTTTTCTTCACTGAGTGTCTAAGTCCAGGAAAGTCCATCTCTGCTGAAATCTACGGTTTGCAGGAAAAAGACAGGGTAGTAGCCACAGTCTTCACCGTACAGTATTCTACAGTTCTCCAAAAATATTATAAAGCTTTATCATTTTGGAACTAATCACAAAGTATTATTCTAATGAAAAGACAAAGGAAAATGTAAAACATTTGTCATTCAATATGTGCTACTGAAACCTAGATACAAATATGTAGAATATCCTGTACAGCAGCCGAGGCGCCACCTCCGGGGCTGTCTTGGGGCAGTGGGGAAGATCCTCAGCTGGAATTCACATCAGTCACTTCAACGGATCTACCTCACTGTGCACCAAGAGAGGCTCTGCGGCCACACACGCTCCACCAGTCTGGCTGCAGAGTATTTTGAAATTACAGAAACCAACATATTAAGTGGAGTGAAACGTATCACAAAGAACTGAGACTGCATCTTGGTTCCTGGCCTCATCCATTGTACCACGGCTATCCTGATCAAGCAAATCCAAGTGACACTGTCCAGAAAACAATGAGACACTCTGGCAAGAGCCTCCTGGCACATGACTGCCTGCTGCAGTACGGCCCCTCTGCCCTCACAAAGCTGCTCACCTGTGTTCTCTACCAGCACTGCTGTGATGCTCTTAGGAAACGGTACACATGAAATAAGCAAAGCATTCTGAAATTCTGTTTGGCAAGGTCACACTTACTTCACTAGTTAAAAATCAGTCAAATATAAATGCCTTTTCTTCTGAGAAATTACATTTGGTCTGACTCAGAGCATTTCTCATGTGGGTGATTCTCCTTAAACACATCTCAATGAAACTGGCTCCATATGTCTTTTAAATTCCAGCCTCAACTCTGTTACCATATTCTGAGATCAAGCTCAGAACCCCCCTCCACTGTCAGCATGGACACAAGACAGAGCTAAGTTTAACCAGATTCTTCAAAATATACTTGATTTTAAAATTCTGCCCAATGAGGGCATGTGGCCTTACTTAGGCAAAAAATCCTTACTTCTCTTCCTGCCCACCGAAAACAAAATTACTCATGTCAGCATGGACTACTTGCTCAAGTCAGAGTGGTTTCACTGAGTTTCAGAGCTGGTATTAAGACTGGCAGAACCTTGCAGAATTGTATGAGAAACAAAGTGACCAATTTTTTACATTTCTGTACGCAAAAGGGGTGCTGCACCATCACTGGTGCCATACTGGTTTATGTAGGCATCTGATTGGTGGGGTTTTGGGTTTTTTGGGGTTTTTTTTTTGGTTTTTAGGGTTTTTAATGGTATGAGTACAGTTACTATAATAACTGGAATTATTACCACAAATAATTTGTAGTACATCCTTCCAGTCCACCTGTTAGAAAAAAAACCAAGAAATTCCTGTTACACTTTCAAATATTAACAAAAATATCATAAAGAAACAGAGTGTCTGAGTTCCTATTCATACTTGAAAATTAAATATTTGACTGTTTGAAAATACTTCAGAAGAAGGGACACTATAATATTCTAGACCTTTACAAACATTTTGGTCAGCGTTTTTCGGCTGGGGTGGCCAGAGCTCAGGGCTTATGTTTTTCCTGAGCAGTGAAGGTTCATTAGCTGGACCTTTGCTTTCTGCTAGCACAAGGCAATGGCATTCATCTCTCAAGATCACCCACAACCCATACTCAGACAAAGGACCTTCTGTCTGTTCCATACAGCTGAAAAAAAAAGTTGGATGGAGCCCTTCTGCATTTCAGCAGTTCCCAGCTGCTTTCCTAACCCAAGAGGTCTGGCAGCAGTGGCAGGTGATACAGCCAGCAGTGGTCTGACTGCTTCATCCATAGCTGTGCAAACAGACTCTCTTCAGGCTGCTCCACAGCTGGATGGTCCTTTTACTCCTTCATATACATACTGACACTGTGGCTACATATCCTGCTTAAGGCAGGCAGCCTGATATGGTGAGTACTCATAGCAAGAGGGAGTATAAGCTGATTATATACATTAGCAGTTTTCAAACCCACATCCATTTTCCTCTAAGAGGAAGTTGCACATTTTCCTAAAAGTCTATTTTCACTATCACTTATGATCATGTGGAAAACCAAAACTTATTATCCAAGTACTTATTATCCAACCAATACTTATTATCCAAGTATCTAAATAAAGGCACCCTCTCCTGCAAATATTAGCTTTGCTTTAGTCTATCCAAATTAGATTTCTATGGGAAAAGTATCTCTATGGAGGATTTCACATACACAGACACACACACACCCACACACCACACACACACACTTTTCATTTTTTATTACTTACTACTAAAGACTTAATTGTATGCCTCAGGATCTGTGCTGTGGAAGCGCCCTTTTGCATCAGGGCATATTTCCTTTGGCACCCTAAAGATCAGTGGAGTATCTACAACAGACCAAAAACGACACAAAATTCACCTTCAGTTTCCAGTGTAATATCAGAATTCGTGCTATATTCACTGAAAAGATAATCGAAGGTCACAAATTTAGATGCACTTGAGAACACATTCAGTTTTTTTAACATAATTAATGTCCAAGTATTCCCAGTAATAGCAGAAATGACATGTCATTTCAGAAGAATGCTTTCACAGTGTTCTGCCCTTGTCACAATTAGTAGCTAGTACCATTTTAACAGCTATTAGCAGTGGATACATGAATAATTCTACCAGCTACAAAGTAATAGGCCAGATACTTGTAGTGGACAATTTTATAAAAAATAATAGCTGTTTCGTTATGCTGGCATAGAATCATGTCTATTCATATGTCTTCCTATATGATTTAGGAAACCATATCAATTAATAACTACAAAGGATCCTGAGTCATACAAAGGCTGATTACAGATTCTACACTCATCAAATCTCTATAAAATGACACCCATGTCCATGCCCACACAGCATTCACATTTTGCACATTCTCCTCTTGCTAGGAAGGACAAAGTTAAACACTAGATTAGAAAATGCTGAAAAGTATGGAGTACTTGGCTTCCTAATCACAATCCAAATCATAAAAATGAGGACCATCTTTAGACATGGACAAGGAAAGAAAAGGACTGATAAAAGAGAAAGAAAATCAAGATGATAAATAGATTTTTCTACTCAGGTTGTATTAGAACGTTCTATAAGAAATCAACTATTCTTTAACACACAGCTGTGTGAAACTTCTTAAAAAAAGGTTTCTAAAGACATGTAATAAAATGCAGGATATTAGAATATTGCAGAAAACAGTTATGGGATTTTTTAGATTTAATCCATTTAAATTTAATCCTGATTCGGTGTGAAACAGCAAAATACAAAACATAAAAAATAAAATAATATAGAATTATAATGGAAAGGCCTGTTCAACCTTAGAGCAATAATACTAACATTATAAGAATACAACCATTATATAAGCAACACATCAACATGTATGTATAATGTATACACTTAGGACATGATATCTGTGGTAGACCAGTTGCTCAAGGCCACTAAAATATCAATTTACATCCAACACCAGCTAAATGTGCAAGAACTTCAATCCAAATGAGCAAGAGCGGGAATTTCTGTGCACTGTGCAGAACACACAGGCTGTAACGAACTTTTGACTTTGGAATATACTGTTATCAGTGGGAAGACCAGAAACTTTAATGTGCAAGTTGCAAGGTATGTGGTTCCATCTGTGGTTCTGGAAAAGAAAAGTCAGCAAAGACAATACTGACTAAAATTGTAAAGGTAGAGACCATTTCACACGCTTCTGTTCTCTGAAATCCTCCAAGCAATTCATATTTGAGGGCTTGGCTTTCCGCACACTCTTTGGATATCACAATTTTGGCCTTCATTACAGGGTAGAGGTTATATTAAATAGTATTTGGCTTGCCTTTTTATTATTAAAAAAAAATCTCCATGTGATTTTTCTCAGTAGAAATTAAAAATGTGACGCTACATACTGGCATTAAGGTCGAGTTTGGTCAACCACATAAAATAACACTTTTCACTTTTAAACGCCTTTCATAAGAAGATATTCAAGTGCTTTGCTAACATTAGTCAAGCCTCACAACACCCCTGTGAGGTAGGTAAAATACAAAGGAGGAGGAGGATTTAATTCAGTTTTAACATGATAATGTCTCTGGGCAGCAGGTTCACTAGCACTGCAACATAGCACAAAGGTTTAGGGCTTACTGCTGTAAGGCAAAGAGTTAAGAGTACAAGAGCACAGGATTCTCTCTTCTTTTGCTTATACATGAGTCAAGCTAATGTGCTACACAGCACCGAACAGCTGAACAAATGCCCACACAAAGATTTCATGCACCCAATCCACAAACAACAGCCTCCAAAAGTAAAGGGCACACAATGACAGGTGGAAGATCGGTACAACAGCTCTGTTTTGGGATGGGTCTGCTAGTTTTTGAGGAGCAGAATACCTTGGGAATGAGAGCCCAGAAAACAATACTGTCTCCACATAACTCTGAAAATATCTGAAGGTGGTTAGATTTGGTTCTTTTCACACTAATGTTTCAATTCACAACTTACTGGGGATAAGCAACTGCAAGTGTAAAGTATGTTAGTTAATTTCCATGCCTTGTGAGGGCAACAGCAAGATAGAATGGCTGGCTCTCTGCTTTGGTGGGCCACGTGTTCCCAATGTACACAGCCATGATGTGGTCAGATGGTTGGGATAGCCTGGGACGGGACAAAGAAGCACTGCCCTCATCTACATTATACCTCTGAAGCTGCTGCAATCTGACTCCTGAAAACTATTCTTGTGGCTTCTTCCTCCACAGTGTAGACATGGGAGAGTATTTGGCCCCCACCAGTTTTATGCTCAGCATTTAGCTTCAAAGTGCAGATAGTCATTGTACAATTCTACTGGGTCACTGATCTTTCAGATTAAGGATTCAGAAGAAACAAGCTTGATTAAGAAAAATGTCATTCGTGAACAATAGTCTACGTGAAGTACAAGGGAACAGAAAGAAAACCATGTTCTTAGTATTAGTCAGTACAAATAAACACATGTACACCCCCCTCACTTTCTCCATATTTCACTTTTCAATGATGGCATAAATAGTACATTCTATATTTGCAGAAATATTGCCCATATAGAGAATCTGATCTGTCTATCATAATAAATCACTACAGAGACTGGTCTACCACATGAAACACAGCCCTCTTACGTAATTTTAAGTCTTTGCATGCAAGATATCTCCCTTTTTCCTAATTTTCATTTGAATCTTATGTTTATTTATAACACTTGTGCACTATGAGCTAAAAAACTTACTACTGCACAGGCTGGGTGACCTGGGTGACCCATTGTGAGTTTCAGTGCCTTGTAAAGTAGCTGAGAAGAGGTGGTTCATGGATTCTGTGATATCACTGCAAAGCTCCTGCCCCAGCAGGCGTTCACAGTTGAAACTACACTGTTTCATTGATCAGCAATGAACAAATGTAAATTATTATAATGTAATGATGATGTCCTTCTCATTTTCTCTCTCTAACCCTGCTCCTGGCCCTTTTCTATTTCTCCTCCCTCACTATTCTTCTATGCTTATTTAAATAAAGGAATATGGAGACTGCAGATACAGCTGGTAACTTGAAAAATGAACTGGCATCTTTGCAATCATTAAGAGACATTCTGCGTGGTAGACAAACTGGCAGCAAGTGGGAAAGTTGATTGTACATCTCATACTGCCCCAAGCTGGAAGCCTTTTGCATTTCTTATTCCTGGCTTTCCTTTTGTCCATTGAAACAGTGATTGTCGTAGAGTCTTTGTGCTTTGTATAATGCCCAACTTTGATGTAACCAGAATTCACATACAAAATGTGGCTGTTATACATAAGCATGCTAAAATACAGGCAGAGACAGTACAAGCATGCACAAAATAGTCTTTGAAGGATTTTTGTTTGGTTTTTTCCCAACATTTACATGCACCACTTAATATCATGTTTGGTTGTGTACATTGAGGACTGGGTTTCACAAGCATTCATGATCTTCTCTTCTGAAAATCTTCTTGACAATTTAACAAGATTTCAGTGTAAAAAGAAAAATCCACAATGAAAAAAACAATAAACCAAAAAACCTTATCCCTGGATTCTGATCTTGTCTTCATGATTTTCATGTTGAACACTTTAAAAATGTCTCCTCTTCCTCTTGCAGTGAGTCATGTTAAATGATTGGCTAAAAAGACAGATTATTGTGTCAAGGATTTTCTTAGCCACTGGAACAGTTCTTCCTTATAAAGCCTTTGCCACCGCACATTGGCTTCCACTGTTTCGACAGCACGAGAGAAAGAGACAGCAGCTCCCCCTTCGTAACTCTTTATAAAGTTCTTTAGCTGGAAATACAAGTTAACAGGTTAAATTTGCAGCAACTAAAGAAAGCAAGAATTTCCAGTGCATACAAATAAGTCAGCCATTTAGGACAAACTTCCACAATCAATGTAGAAGCAAATGCAGTATCTGGTAGAAAGATTTAATAGGAAATATATTAAGACAGCAAACTGTCAATTAGATGTGATGCAATTGCTTCACATTGCACTGGAAGATATTGATATGTCAGTGCTGGATCACATTAATATAATTACCTCCTTCCCTCTTGCAGCTCAACTGCTGCACTGCGTAGATGGCTGCTCTAAACTTTTATTTGTACCTAAGAAACCAAACTGGGAACACTGGAATTGCTTCTAATTAAGGTTTATACGCAAATATCAGTAGAAGGCAGTACTGATGCCCTCTGGTTTTATAAAGCTTCAAAACACATTAATTTTATTTTGATATGCAGATCCCTTTTGGTTATATAATACAGATCAGTTGCTGAAAAAAGGAAGGGATGGTTACAGTGAGAAGAGAATGGCAAAATAGCAAGTAGGCATGCATTTGAATGAATCTTTGAATGCCTGAAACATACTCCTTCCCTTATATGAAAACTTTGACCTTTTTTTTCTGCAGACTGAAAAGGCTCTTGTTGTGTATACTCGAAGTACAGCACTGGCACTTGGATTATTATAACCAATGGTGCTGGCAGGTTTTCAATTATTGTTGTTCTTTTCAAGTGAAAATTGAAAGGCTGATCTGCACAATAGTTTGCAGGTTATGTTGACTCATACAAAATTAGATGGTTTTAGCAACACTTACAAATAACTAGTTTATTTTTTTCTCCTGGTGACACCAAATGCATTTTGGTTCCTAAACTCTGACTTCAAGCAACATCTCTGCGCCTCGGCTCAAAACTGAAAAGGTTGATTCTGCAACTGTCTCATTCCCATCACTGTTAAAAGCATAAAAAGGACCTGGAAACTATCAAAATCAGACTTTACTTGATCTCTGTACTTTTTATACCAAAATGCTTACAATACCAGTTTCTTTTAAGGAAATATAACCAGGCAGCTTACCAATCCTGTCATGAAGGTGGAAACTAAGAGTACAGAACACTTCCTTGAGCAGGGCAGTGACTCAAATCTGACAAACAGTGTCATTCCCACCTGAAGGGAGGAAACCACCTGTGGCCACTCCCTAAGCTACTGAGGCCACTAGACTTGAGTGCAGACAAATGGTTGGATGCAAAACATCAGAGCACAATCAGAGTTCACATAATAGTGGTTGTGCTGCTTAAGAATCACTGTATCCATTTGGAGCAGCATTGAGTAGGTGCTAAACAGGGTGCAGCACAACTGTACAACTACGTCATTCAGAACCAGTGTTAAGTTAAAATGAGAAATCTTTCCCATCTAAATAAGAAGTACAAATTATTGTGGTGTCATTTGGCCAACATATTCTGTTAGCAGATTTTCTCACATGGAAAATACTCTGAGAAAAACAGAGAACACATGGGCAGCTTCCACTTTCAACACTGATGTTCTCGAGGACTGCCCTCTGCAGCATCAGCTAATGAAGATAGAAACATCTCATCTTCAGTTTCTCAACCAATAGTGAAGAGAAAAAGACAAACCTTCATATCCAGCTGAGCGCAAAAAACTGCCTGCACAGTACCCCTCCTGTGACACCAACTCTACACACTTGTGCTTTTGTGATCTGCTCCTCATCCTTGTGCCACCCAACAGGTTGGTGCTGCACAGGCAATTGAGCCTTCAACTGCAGCAGAGAGAACAGAGTTTCTGGACAACTGTATTATTGTTCCTGCCCTGCTTCCTGCTTGCAATGAACACAGCCTCACATGACAGAAGTAGTTTAAAAATTACCTCTCTTAGTTCTCCTTCAGTATTGAGGAATTCCGTGACCCCACTGACAAGCTTTGAATTCATAAATAATGCTTCTCCATACCTGCAAGGGCAAAAAGAAGTGCACAGAGAGTTACTGCAAGAGCCAGGCCAACTGAAAACTAGGAAGTAATCTTCTGCAATCAAGAGAGAAGGCATAGGACTGATTTTGGGGGATCAAGAGAATAGCACTGGAACAGGGTACTGGTATTTCAGACTGAAAACCTAAACTGACACCTTCTTCTAGGATGACATGTTTGTAATTATTAAGTCAGATGCTATTAAGCAGAATGGCTATAACTACAGGCACAGATGAGTGCTCCAGAGGAGAAGACTAAACCACCTCCCACTAAATGGAACAGAGGGAGGAGTTCATGGCAGTCTACAACTTCCTTATGAGGGGAAGAGGAGTTGACAGGCACTGATCTCTTCTCTGTGGTGTCCAGTGACAGGACCTGAAGGAATGGCCTGAAGTTGTGTCAGGGGAGGTTTAGGTGGGATATCAGGAAAAAGTTCTTCACCCAGAGTGTGGCTGGGCATCAGAACAGGCTCCCCAGGGAAGTGCTCAGAGCACCAAACCTGTCTGAGCTGAAGCAGTGCTTTGACAATGCTCTTGGGCACACATTGGGAATGGCCCTGTGCAGGACCAGGGGTTGGACTTGATGATCCTTGTGGATCCCTTCCAACTCAGCTTATTCTGTGATTCTGTGAAATAAAGCTCAAAATACAGGTGCCAATGAAGGAGCAGAGCAGCAACTATGGAGAATTATTCTGAGGAACCCTTCAAGCTGTACCATTAAATCAGACTTTTTGATGTGCTGCAGCCTTCTGTGTATTTTGTATTCATCCATCTCATCTACATTACAAATAGCCTCTCAAAAACTGAACTGCATCAAATTTTCTTGTTCCACTACCTGATAATTAAAATAAATAATGCTGATAGGAATAATACTACTAAAATAATCCCCTGGGCCACAACGCAGCATTTCAAAGAACCAGCCTGGAATGAAAATTTGAAAGCCTGGGCAAGGAATATTTAAAGGATATGCAGAAGCAATCAGGAATGACATTTGGCAGACAGTTGCTTTGAAACTGGCTGTTAAAATCCTCCTTTTCACTTGTTTTTCCACAAGTTTTTCAATCCTCCAAATGAAGCATTATAGCGCCACTGACCTAGTGATCACTCCTTAAATTTTACATTTTATGTTGGAAATAGTTTAGTTTGTGGAGTTTGTTGTTTTGGGGCTTGGGGTATAATTCCACTGGAAACCAGAAGTAAGTCAAGTTAGATATCATTCAGCATAGTAAGAGGCACTTGACAAATAGTTACCCTTATCTTTATCTGCATGTATGTCCAAAGCAGTATCTAGCTAATCTAAACATGACTGCTTTTAAGATAGGGAATCCAGATCTCCTGTCAGACATGTGCAAGTATTACCAATAGACTTTACTGAAATTATGTTCATCTGGGGGAACAATTCAATTCATCGTCTACTTTTACAGACTGATTTATAGAAAGAGTTCAAAATTCAAAGTGAAACGAACCAGCACAGTCACAGCTTTCTGTTCTGCTTCTGTTAATCCAAAATTGATTACCCTCAAATGCTTAGGTACTCTAAGCCACAGTTCTTTCAAGGGGGAGAAAGAAAGAGAAGGAAAATCAAAGCAATAGGTACAGAAAGATCAAGAGGGATCTCTCTGAGAAGATTCTGTTTTAGGGAATGCTTACACTATATTGCTTGCTATCTTGAGCTCTTGTGAGGAGAAACACTGTTAGAGGTATCAAAAATCCTACTCCTTGACCACTAATAAATGAATTAATAATGGCTATTTCAGCAAGTACATATCTTTTCCCAAAATTTCAGTCACACTGGCATATACAGACATCCAGAGGCAAACTATGGGAAGTAAGGATTTCATGGTACTTTAAGTACATTTAGGCTTTATAACAAAGCCCTTTATTATTACAGTCTCAGACATAACTGACTATTTGGAAAATGAGAAGCTCCTCTTGATGGGGTATTTTGACAAGGTTACCAATCCACTTTAGACAAGCAACTTCATAAAAACAGCTGCAGGAATTTTATTTTTCTTACAGTCTACTGTAGCCACCACAGTGCAAACAAGAAGTAACAGAATTCCTTCCACTAAAAATGATACCTTCATGCACACCTGTGCCGATTACTGCCCATTATGTATACTTGGTAAGAAGTCAGCCATTTACAGCAATTTCTACAGAAGCTCTGCTGATGAAAAAGCTAGAAAAGTCACATTCCAAAACAGTATTTTGCAGGTGTGAAACATACGAATAAATAGGAAAAGTGTTTGGTCTTACAAGTGTCAGTCTTCTCATCCTTCACAGGATAGACAACAGCACAAGAGATTCAGGGCCTCACATGCCTGAACTTCAGGGAAACATTCTGCAGACACAGACTCTCCAGTGCACCTTTCCTTCTGTGGATGTAAACCCTCCAGTGCCCCACGTTTGTACAGGCTTTGCACTTGTGCAATCTCTAGAGGCAGCATAGTCCATTTACTTTGGACAGATATAAATGCCTTCCCAAATACTGTCAAGTTCCCAAATGCTGACAAATGATTCAGCACTTGAGAATGAAGGAATTCTTATAGGCATCTGATGTATTAAATTTTCACACACTGACACGTGCTCACAGGATGAAAATGCTTTAGGAGACAAGGTAGTGCATGCTCAGGTAACATGAAGTCAAGCATAGTATTTTCAATTCTCTTTTTCAGAGCTGTAGCACAGATTAGTCCCACAGATTTCTTACTAAAGACTTGTTTAGGCACCTCAATTTTTAGGTCACCTGTGTAAATTATAAGAGTGACTTTGAAGACGTTATACATCATCAATATGCTCTGGAAAATATGAATACAAGCATACTGGAAAATATGAAGGATTAAAAATATTTTGTGGCAATTCTAACTCCCTGACATGCTATGTTTAAAAGAGGAAATAGAGTTGTAATTTAATCCCCCTCAGCTATTTCACTTTACTATCTGAAACATCAACACTTTTTACACTAAATTAAATGGAAAATACCACTGAGATATCACCTTATTAAATTAATGTTTTATACAAAATACTTTAAATGTGAATAAAATTAAATAATAAATTATAATAATAGAAAACGTATGCCTTGGGACAAAGTCTTCTTGAATCATAGAATCCTAGAATGGTTGGGGTTGGAAATAAAATCCAGCTCCAATCCCCTTGCTATGGGCAGGGACAACTTTCACTAGACCAGGTTGCCCAAAGTCCTATCGAACAAGACCTCACCACTCTCACAGTAAAAGAATTCTTCCTGCTACCTGATTTAAACCTGCCCTCCTTCAGTTTGTAGCTTTTTCCCCTTGCCTTTTACATGCCCTTGTAAAAATCCCTCTTCAGCTTTCCTGTAAGGACCCTTTAGGTATTGGAAGGTGCTATAAGGTCTCCCCAGAGCCTTTTCTTCCTCAGTCTGTACATTCCCAACTCTCTCTCTCTCTTCATAGGTCAGATACATCAGGCATCATATCACCTTTGTGACTGTCCTTGGTACTTGCTCCAAGAAGTGCATGTTCTTCTTGAACCATAATTCCACAATAAAGCTTGTATTTTTAAAATGCACATGAGCTGTGGTGAGCTCATGTCAGAAACCTAATCACAGAATCACAGAACATTAAGGGATTAGAATGAACCTTAAAGATCATCCAGTTCCAACCCCCACCCTTCCATGTGCAGGGACACCTCCTGCTAGACCAGGCTCCTCAAGGCCTTATCCAATCTGGCTTTGAACCTTGCCAAGGGATGGTTGTCCAACCTCCCTGGACAACCAGTTCCAGTGTCTCATCACCCTCACTGCAAAAATTTCTCCCTAATATCTAACTTACTTCTTCGATTTGTACCCATACCCATCCCAGTTCCTGATGAAGACTCCTCCTCTGGCTCCATGGTGGGCTCCCTACAAATACTGGAAAGTTGCTATTAGGTCTCCAGACAGCCTTCTCTTCTCTGGACTGAACAACTCCAAGTTCCTCAGCCTGTCTTTGTAGGAGAGGTGCTCCAGTCCTCTTACCAACTTTGTGGCCTTCCTCTGAACTTGCTGCAACAGCTCCATGTCCTTCATACTCTGGGGACACTTGAACAGTACACAGCTCTCCAGGTGGGGTCTCATCAGAGCAGAGTAGAGGGGCAGAATCCCCTGCCTTGCCCTGCTTTGGGTGCAGCCCAGGGTTGGCTTTCTGGGCTGTGAATGGACATGGCCAGGTCATGCTGAGATTTTTCCTCAACATCACCCCCAAGTCCTTCTCTTCAGGGCTGCTCTCAAATCACTTCTCTGCCCACCCAGGGTGTGGGTGTTCCTGGGACTGCCATGACCTTGCATGCTATCGTGCCACTGTTTCACTGAACAGCTAAGGGGAAAGGTATTAACTAGACTCTACTCTCTCAAAGTCTCATCTAAAATGTTCTAATCTATGATTACAAACATTACTTTTAATATATAACATGTATGTACAGCTTGCATTAACTGTTTCATTTCACTGCACTGAATCTTTTGGTCATCAAAAGAAACTCAAGTGGATGTTATGTTTAGAAAAAGCCACGGCTACAATCTTTTTGATGGCTCTGACTTGTGTTTGGAGATCAAACTGAATGAAGGTAACACAAAGAGAGTGTCGAGCAACAAGACAAACTCTCTGTTATTTTCATTTAAAAAAGGACAGTAACAGGTCTTTTATTAGGCCTTACTGATTGTTATGAATCCAGATTACACAATGATGCATCCCAAACAAGCAAAATAAATACAATTCAAATTCTAGGTGAAGTTAAGCTTTTTTAAATTATAACCCAAAAGATTTGGCATGTGGCAGTTTGTTAAATATTTTCTATTTGTGTACACTGCTTAACATTGTCCATATCTAAAATCACAGGTGTTAGCCAGGTTGTCAGATAAATATACTTACTAAGCAGGACATAACTACAGCATATGTGTTTGTAGCAATACAAATTGTGATGGCTTTATGCCTAAACTCTGGATAAATCCCTGGAGGTATACCTGAAAAATTATTTGATATCTAAACTGGCTTGTGTAAAAGTCCAGTTCCTGGAATAATCACACCAAAAGCAGAGAATTCTTAATTTTTAAACTCTTCAGCACTCTTAGAGCTTTTTTGGAAATGGCTTTCAAGAAGTATGCTTCTGCAATATGAATTTCCAAAACCAATTCCAGCTCAAACCTATTTTCCTAGATGAACTTCTAAAATCTCACTATACTACTAAGCATTATCCAAAACGGCATGAACAATTTTCTGAATTTTTAAGAAAATTAAACTCAGTGTCTGAGTTTCTTTGACACTTACTTTGATGCTGTAAAACCTGTAGGAAGTTTGCACCTGTATTCATCAGGCACTGGGATTTAGTTGCTTAAATACACCACTTTTAATATACCATTTCAAATATTCTGTGGTACAATAGTTGGCTCCTCACAAGTCCAGAATGGAACAGATCTGCAATGCCTTTCCTGCCAACACCAAAGGTGTGACCTGGCATGGGATGCCTTAAAATCTTGGACACCTGCCTTTCAGAATCTGAATCTCAGCCAAGCTGTGGTCCTTTTTAATCTGTCAGTATCAGATGAGCTGCTGTGCAATCTTTCAGGCCCTCAGGCTGTCCTTACAGAACTACAGAATTTTGTGATTCATTGAATTAATATCAAAATCTTCATCAAAAAGGATTTTAAAATGTTGACCGGGCTTCAGAGTAGGCGCATGTAGCACTTATTCAAAGAGAAAGAGAAGCAGGTGTATGGAGCAATCTTGTCTCCTTTCTGTTCATCTATTTTTAATTCAAAATGTTTCTCCTTTATTACATGAAACTCACCTAAAACATAGAGTGGAAAGAAAGGGGATGACACTATATTAACATCCTTTTGAAAATGGAAATGTTTCAAAATGTGAATTTTTTCCACAACTGAAATAATATTTTTGAAAAGAGTATTTTTTCTATCCGACTTTAAATCAGAAAAATTTCTTTGGGAACTGCTGTTTTTTCTCTGTATAGAAATAGGACTGCAGCACCTGACATATAGATAAAATTCATTATCATAACCACAGACACAATACACTAATATATATACAGATGATTGCCAAGAGACAAATGTCTCTATGCATGTGTGTGATAATCCATGAATAAATGCATTTATGACTCATATGTAGCTATTTCATATTTAGAGACATCTCTATTCTAATCTCTATGTATTAAAAGAGAATGAACTACAGAAGGAACTTACAGAAATACACACCTATACAATACTTACACATATTATATAAAGATAAGAAAATAAAAATAAATTAAGAATTTTTATCTATACCTAGCATTCAGTATTTTCCATTTCTCTCTGAAAAACTTCCAAGCAAGATCCCTTCCATGTGGATTTCGAGCTACATGGATTATCACATCAATTGCATCCTGATCCAGGACAACTTCGGAGTTGAGAGACAAATTCAAAAGTCTAGTGGGAGAAACAAGAACATTTAGTTTCACAAACACATTGTCCAACATCAGTCCATCAGAAAACTTTTGGAAAAAGAAGATCTCTGCTGAATTGTTTAAGTCTCCAAATGAGTTCAGTGGATTATTTCTATGATTCCAAAGACTGGATACATTTAGGAATCAGAAAAATCTTGATGTAAAAAGATTTCAGGAAAAGCTGAGTGCAACTTTACACGTGCATTTTTACTGATCTGTAAGATCAGATTGGTCAAGACATGGTAAATAAAGGACACGGTAACAAAAAAATACCAACAATTATTGCAGGATTTAAAACATTTCCAATGAAGAAAGGAAAATCTGGAACTGAAATATAATATGTGTCAGTTTTCATATGCATTAATGCAAAAGTGTAAGATGGTTTAAACAGATAGTAAGCTGGTACTTGAAAAGCAAATTTCTGTCCTTTAGATGAAAGCTCAAGTGATGATCCATAACTGTTGAAGTGATTATTAGAAACAGATCCAAATATTGAATATTTTTTACCTGTTAAGCAAGTTTCTGTCATCACTGCAAGTTAAGGCTTCTAACAGTATTTTCTTCTCAGACACTGCTGTGGTAGAATGAAATTTCATCCAAATGAACTCCCATACATCTTCATCCATCAGTGAAACTCCTGTACAGTAGACAATGTCTCTCACATTGAGAGGGATTCTACAAGAGAAATCAGTATTAGCATTTTGGTAAACAAGCAGCCTCCTGATATTGGATACAAAGGAGGACCATTTCAGAGATTTCAAATTTATTGTCCAATAGTAATGGGCTTTCTAGAAAATTACATTTGCTTCTCTTTACTACTGCCAACATTTTCCAGGCCATCCTAATGGGCTTTCTAAAGGGTAGCATTTTCTTCATAACACCATCACATTGTCAGAAGACTATAAAATATGGTCATGGAGTTCATCAACTTATAATGTGCCACATAACCTACAGGTAACATAAGTTCTCCAAATCAGTACGGAGATTATCACTGCTGCTGGGCTCTGTGCCAAATCTGCTCTTCCTGTCTTTTCCACTGATTTACAACAGGACCTGAGCAGCCACAAACTCCTTCTTCCTTGGTCTGGAAAGGGCTTCATCTTCATATAGTAACATACAAGTAAGAAAAGATGTGCTGTGACAATGATAATTAAACATGATATTGTCAGGAAGAAAGATTTTCGTGTTTTTTTTAGCATATAATATCAGTACAAAACCAACTGTGCCATAGACAACTGTAATTACTGCTAAATTAATATCAACTTAAACTACAGCTAAATTATCAAATTCAGACCTAGTGTATATACAGTATGTGCATATGTACAGTGTTGTTCTAAAAAGGTCTCAGCTGAGCTTTCAATTCCCTACCTTGCTTATGTTTCCTATACAAGCACAGAAGCTGAAACATTTGTACCATTGACCCATTAATTCAGGTAGGAACTGTGGGCTGGAAGGACTGTCACTCTGTGTTTGGCTAGTCCAGACACAGCAGCAGATGTACCAGAGGTGGATGTCTAAGCCCAGAATAGATAGCACTCCTCACTTTCAAAATTTACAGTAAAATGCATCAATTCAATGGGCTTTCCCAGCTAGCCATTTTTTACATTCTAAGGGCCAACACCAGCAAATTTAGAAGCAGTGTAGTCAGTAAGCACAGGATCATTGGCATATCTGGAAAGGAAGGAGACCTTAAGACAAGGGATGGAGCTGATCCCAGGATCATAGCCTAGATGTCACTACCTTCCTTGCTAAGAAAACTCTACTGCCACCAAATCAGTAGTATTATACTTGCAGTGCTGCAGCAGATCTAATCAAAATCATCCAACCAACTGCTCCAGGGAAAGGTTTAGGTCTGTACTTATAAGCTAAGTAATTAGGACAATGTGAAAAACTCAGCCCTTACAAACCAAGACCTCGAACACAAATACTGGTTTTAAAAGGCTTACTTTCAGAAACTACAAAATGTACAGCTATGAAACACTACCAACTTCTCCTGTGAGAGGCTTGCAATCAGCACTCTAGACAGGGGGGTTCCTTTTGTGGAAATGAAAATTGCTTATGAAAGTGCAAATGTCCCCAAAGTAATTTCTCTTTAACTATTGCTCCTACAGAGAGTCCTCTAATTGAATTTTGTCCATTTGTGGGGATTTTTGCTTTCTCACTCGTCCAGTCATTTTGGGTGTGCATTCTATCATTATATAAATATCTGAAATCTCTTCAGTCTACAGGTTTTTTAGTATTATAGATTCCTGGAAAATTGCAGTTCCAAGGCACTAGATCAGCATGTGGATGTTTGTCACTTGTATTAACCGAATCAAGCAGATAAAATTACCATTATTTTGGTATTGCTTGGGTCATAACACTGCAGAACACATCCTGTTGTTAGTGAAACCTCATCTGTGCATTCAAGGCTGCTCTTTTTTTTAAAGAGCTAATATGATTGATGGATACTTCAGAAGAATAAAAATAAACGTTTAAGAGCATCACTTTAAATGGCTTTAATTTGAATACTGATCCAATTTATTAAACTTTCTTTTTCTTGCATTAGAGATATGATGGTGAGAATGAAATGTGTAGTTAGTCAAGCTCATTTAAAAATTAAACACTTTAGGAGAAAAAGTTAAAAATTAAACAGTTAGGAAAAAATGAACTAAAATCATGCTATGCCTTTACAGGGATTTCTTTCTTTCAAGAGTGAATTATAAAGCTCTACAATGAGCTAAGAATAATGTTCTAAGTCATAATTAATTGGTACATATTTGCTCCTATTTAAAGTATGTTCTAACAGTTGAAGATACACTTATAAAATTGGACCATAATTATTTATCTTCTGGGGAAATTGTGTTCTAATTTTTTAAATGTAAATGCACACAGATTAGACAGTTCTTTGATTAAGTAACAAGTTTCAACACCATTTAGGGTTCTATTTGACAAAGAAAATTAATTAGGACCATTATTCTTATTTTTGCAACAATTTAACATTTAACTTAAGCCTATTTTTCTTGATGACTATATTTATAATCTTGTTTAATAGGTTACAAGGCTCAGATAAGAAAAAAGAATGAAGTATTAATACTTTGTTGGCAGATCTGTAATACAGATTCTATTATAAAAAAGAGCACCATACAGCTTATTTTTAAAAACTTCAATCCCAAATCTTATACTTCCATTCTCTATTACAAACTCCAGGAGTCATGCTGCGGGCACCATTGTGCAGAAGGAGGAGGAGGAGAGGATCCTCTGCCATAGCACATACCCAGTCTATAGGGAAAGGGCAGAACTTTCCCTTGAAAACTGAGGTACAGAGCTGTGATGGGCTCACCATTCAGGCGCCTGTCCCACCTAGAATTCAGGGGACATTAACAGAGGATGTGGCTGCTCAAGGTGTCTGGGGCAAAGCTATGCACAGTCCCTGTCCTGTGCTCCCAAGTTTCAGGTATCACATGAGTCTGACAGAGGCAGGGCGAGAATACATCATCCCTCAAGTGATGGTTACTGCTATTGCTCCTTCCTATTCCTACTGCAGATCCTCCACAAGTGAACATGCAACCAGCATAGTCAAGATCTTCAACAGTGATTTTAATAACTGAGTGATGAGTTAATTACTTCCTTTTGGCACGAGTCCCTAAGTAGATATGTCTGTCCATTCTGGACAGTTTTTGCAACAAAAATATGGTCATTTCTGATCATAAAAATAATAATGGTCATTTTCCAAAGCTGTGGAGACATCATCCCTGAATGAGAAAATTGGAAGCTAATCTATCAAAATTTTAAAGATTTCAAATTAATTACTGCTATTCCATAACCACTACATATAGGGTCATTTTACTGTGGTGACACACAGAAGTCAGAAGACAAAAAATACTGCCTGAACCAGCTGCCCCATAATGCCCTGTTTCACCTTTTACAAGATGAAGTCCTCTTTCTATTTAGACCCAGATGGTCTTCCAGAGTGCTAAGTCCTTGATTAACTCATGCACTCAACAGTGGGTTTTTCCTCCTTAAGTTTTATTGACTTGAGTGCAAGATTCTACTCAAATGTTGTAACAACCTATTAATTACTAAATCACTTCAGCAACATTGGCTCACATTAGCTGGCACAGCTCCAGAAACATTTCAAAATGCATGAATAGCTATGCCTGATTTTTTTCAGTAATTAAAGCTTCTAGGGGTTGCAAACACAGAAGAAGGGATTCACTTTATTTTTTTACATTTATCAGACACTCATGTGTGAAAAACATTAAAATAACTCTCATTTTTTCATGTTTGCTGCTAACAACTTCCAAAAATAGCTGCTAGGCATCAATCCCTTGAAAGAACCCAGTGCCTCTTCCAAGAAAATAACAAAAGTAATTAACCTGTTGGCCATGTTCTCACAAATACTTATGTAGGCGGTTAAACTCAAGTATATTTCTAAGTTGTTGCAAGACAGTAGCACTACTATGTCCATGTGAAACTCAGAAATAAAATTATCTATCACAAGTAATTACATAGAGAAATAAAGGAGAAAGAAGAGGAAAGAAAAAAACGGTTGTTTGGAAAAACTTTTGATTTTCTATCACCTAAGCCAGACTTCATTGAAATTACTTCAATTAATGACTGGTAATTTACTACTCCCTCAGATCTATGGGGAGTTTTGTTTATAGACATGCAACACACTCCTATACATGCCTGCAATTGTTTTTCTGGTGGCATTTCCACGGAGTTGTTAGAGGTGCAGGCAATTAAGCACACTGCCAGCTCAGGCAGGTGGACTGATATGAATCCGTTATTCCTTGTAGAGGAAACACAAAATTTCCATGAACAAGTGTGGAGGTTCACAATGTCCAAATTTGGCTTACTGGTTATCACTGTCCTTCAAATTATGTGATGGAGGACATTTACTTCACTATTTACACCTTTCTTAAGATGATAAAGAATTAACTAATGTTCCTAACCATCACAGCAGCATGACAGAAGTGAAATGGAGAATAGTAGCCACTGAAAAGTCCATATTTACATTATTACACTTTAAAAAAAGAGATGAGGTTGTTTACTATTAGTGTGCAGAGATGCAAGATCCTGTTTTCATTACTTAGTAACCAAAAGTGGCTCATTTGTAATTCAAACAACACACAGATGTGTGCTGACTTAAAACCCACAGACAGAACAGGAAAGTTCATCTCCTCTTTTCAGGGATCTCTGGCCTGTAGCAGGGAACCTTGCCCCCCACAAGAGCTCATCTGTTGCTTGTTAACCAGTCAGGTAACTGAAACAGGAATAGCTGTCTTGTAGTGAGTCCTTTTGGCATCACAGGGTTAACACGGGTCCAGCAACTCACAACTGACACCTTAATGTTGATGTGAGATCCAGAAGACAAGTTAGATTTTCACTGACAGACACCTCACTTTACAAACTATATAAACTACACCAAACTCTCACAAGGCAGAAATCCTCTACACATTTCATGGAAATGTATGGGGTTTTTCCCATGAGCAGGGATGCATGCTTCCCTATTACTCCCACTGAGACTGAGTGAAGGAATCTGTGTACATTGTCATTATTTCAGTGGTAAGTTATATTTGACTCCTAATCAATACTGTATCTTTTGTTAGCTTTATTATAGGTACCTTGATGTCATGCACTGGCTTATGTCATGCTGTAATCTACTAGTAGTTCCTTTTAGTTTTATACTC